GCTGCAGAGAAGGGGTACACAGCAAATGTCCAGGACTCGGAGACTCAGAGACGTACAGTTCCCTGCCTAAGTGTGTAGAGAGTATCAATTCCATGACTTTCCTGCCTTGGTGATATTTATCTCCCTCTTCAAACTGTGAAGGCCTTTCCTGACACCAGCCTCGCTCTCCACGATCACAGGTGACTTTTCTTTGTGTGCAAGAACTTGTCTATTGGCTGCCTTACATGGCACCCCCCTGGGTTAGCTACTTCTTTCTACCAGGCATTGCAGTGATTCAGTTAGAGTCTACGTTAAGACCAGATTCCATATGGAGTCCTAGATGACTCCCAGTGCCAACAAGGGTGCCTAGCACACAGTAGGTATTTGGTTAACATTTTTAGAGAATGTAGCATAACGAATGTGCATTGCCTAAGCATGGACAACATCAAAATATTGTTATTGAGTTACTGTGCTGAGCCTTAGTTATCTGCTTGAAAACATGCAGCTGGCCCTAACTGATTTGGCTCAGTGCATAGAGCATCGGCCTGCAGTCTGAAAGATCCCAGGTTTGATTCAGGTCAAGGGCATGTACCTTGGTTTCGGGCACATCCCCAGTGAGGGGTGTGCAGGAGGCAGCTGATTGATGTTTCTCTCTCATCGATGTTTCTAACTCTCTATCACACTACCTTCCTCTCTGTAAAGAAAAATCAATTAAATATATTTTTAAAAATAAAATGTGCAGCTGATCTCTGGGCCTTCTCTGTATTCTCCTCAAATTAGAGCCCCTTCTTCTAACAGCCAAGCTGGATGCAGAGCTCCCAATCCAGGGCCACCCTCCCTGCAGCATTAAGTCCGTGGAAAACTGAATCCCCTTGTTACGTTCTTACCTGCAATGCCGGTTTTATCATTTTAAAATCAGTGCCCTTTAATGTTTCAGCTTAGTCACACATAAATATATACAAGTGTATGTACTTATCTACATTAGTAAACTTAGTATTAAATGTTTTGACTTCCAAATGTAGCATCTTTTTTTTTGTTTTTTGTTTTTTGGTACATGTTTAACAAAGCAGTAATCACCTGGATAATATTTTGAAAATACAAACAAAAATAGACTATTGTATTTAAAAAAAAATTTGTTGTTGTTGAAAGTATTGCATATGTCCTCTTTATTTCTTCATTGACCTCTTCTAGGTCCACCCTCCCACCCCCACCCCGCCAGGCCCTCACCACCCTATTATCTGTGCCCATGGGTTATGCATATACGCATACAAGTTCTTTGGTTGTTCTCTTCCCAACCACCCGACTCCCCTCTGTGATTCAGAAGGTTGCATTTTTAAACTTTATTTTTTCAAAGGTTTTTGTGGTATTGAGGATTTGGAAATCAGGGCTTTTGTAGTCAACAGTGAAATGTTTGCATATGAGAAAACAAAAGATGAAATACAGAACAGATGTTTCCTTACATTTTAAAATTTATATTTTCAGGGTTTAGTAAAATAGAAACTCAAAGAATAGAAAGGCCATCAGAAGGCTTTGAAGAGGGGAGATGGGAATAATGTGGAAGGCATTTCAAGATGGGCAAATGGGTATGGAGGCAGGGATGAGCCAGACGGTGGGTGGTAGGCAGGACAGGGCGAGGGCTTGCTGCAAAGGATACGTTGGCACCTGATTGCGGGCTTCGTGTTGGAGAGTGGTGGGAGCTCTGGGCTAAGGTGTAAGGTATAAGATGTGTCTAGTCATGGATAAGTTCACATTGTTTTCTGGGGACCAGGAGCTGGGAAAAGACAGAGGAGACATCAGGAGCAATGACAGAAATTGCATCAAAACTCTTCTTTGCAAGGAGACTTTGAAGAATTTAAAAATATGTCCACCTCTTGGGCTCTTTAGGTACTGATCTTCTGGAGTGAAGTCATATTTTTGATTGAAAAGTCAGTTTCATGGTAAGATATGAAAGGCAGGTTTTCAGAGGAGCCATCAAAGGGCTAGCACTGAGACTGGAGCACTTGGGGGAACCATAAAAAGCTTCTGGACTCGAAGCATCTGACCTGGATTTGGGGACTACATTTCCAAGCAGCAGTCTTAAAATGAGGAGGATGTATTTTCCCTTTTCATTTTGCCCAAGGCACTTGGCCCAAAGACCATAATAAAAAGCTACTGAAAGTAGCTGACTAAGAAAGTAGGTCAAGTGCTTGGGAGATATCCAACACATTAAGCACATATTATTAGGCAGGTAGGTACATACATACATACATGTAAATACAGATATACATATAAATACATACCATACATAGGTTATAGCTTAATTCTCTTTCAATAGCAAGAGCTGACCTTGAGTCTGGTGCTGCTGAAACTGTCTACATTAAACCATCGTGGTTTACGTAGCCTGCCGCCTAGCCATGTTACTATAACTTATAGACAAGGGCCCCTGCCGAGCTCACTTGGATGGCCCTCCCCACCATACTCAGTCCATCCCAGCAAAGCCAACCTCAGCACAAATGCCACCCCGACATCCAGCTGCCCTTCTGATGTCACTGGATTCCACACTTCCTTGTCATCCCATCCCCCATTGTCCTCTGTTGCTAGGTACCCGGGGCAATCTTGTTATCCAGAGCTCCGGGGGCTGTTTCCCATGGGGACTGGGATGCAGAGTCTTTGGCTCAAATGCCCTGGTGCCCAGGCTAACCTTGGGGAGAAGCACTGTTGCCCGGGCCTTTGAGCCCAAGGCCCTTCCTCCAGATGTAAAGACCACACCCTCCACACACCAGCAGCCCCTCAGGATGGGTAAGGAGACACCTTTCCCCCTTGTAAAGCCATAAACAGATGTGAGGGGGTTATGATAAAGAGGAGTCTGGGATTTGTGGGTTTTGATTATGAAAAAGTCTCTTTAAGAGAATAAAAACCTTTAGCATAGTCACCCAAAACTACACAATAGAAAACGTTGAATTTATCCTTTGTTTAATGTCTGACCACTTCTTTATATTGAATGTCTCTACTGTAGACAACAAAAACTTCGTTTTGGATTTTGATTTTTAAAATAGTGGCATGTGACAATTACTGATTCTTTTACTATTTACGTTATAAAATATGTGAATATATATTTGATGCAAATGAGTAAATCACTCATTTGTTCATCATAAAAAAGACTTATTTACTCAGGAATGAAATATGTAAGGCTGTTGAATTTAGTTACCTTGGTAACATCTGGAGAGAACTACTATGTCTAAAAATATCTTTTTCTCCTTTATTCATTTACTGTTTGTAGAGAAATTATAAATACATGACTTTTATTAAAGACTTTTCTGATAAATAGTAATGTTTATCTTCCCTGAAAAATGAATAACTAGTACACTGTTTATTAAATATTGATGTTGATTTCAGATTAAAGGAACAAATATCACATGTTTGAATTTTAACTACAGTGGGTGTTGGATTTGTTTCATGCTAATGTAGAATTTATTTTAAAATGTAATATTTCTTTGGGGTTATTCGTTATTTTACTATATTGTTCAAATGTCTTACGTGAAATGTTTAGTAATTTTTAAAAGATTTTAGTATAAAATGTTAAATCACATTTTTCTTCATAAATTAAATAATTGGACATGTGTATGTCCATTATGTTTTTCTTTGGACTTCCTTCGAAAGGAATAACTTAATCCAAAATTATCTTTCATACTTTAGCCTAAGGATTTGACATAACAAAAAATATGCACAATTTTTCAAATTACATATATGCAAATATATACCCGCAATTACTAGAAAAACCTTAGGTATTTCATTGTTAAAAGGACGTTTTTGGTTTATCAAATTAATAGTACGGAAAGTACAATTTCACATTACTTCTGACCAGTTTCCCTAAGTATGTTTTTGCTCCGCATGAAGTCTTTTCTTGAGTGTCTACATACAAAGAATAATAGGAGAATATTTGAACACATTTTAACTTTCCTCAAAAAACTTTTAAAATACTTGTTCTAAAAGAGCATTTTTACTGAAAATTAAACTCAGCGATCTCTGTTTTCATGGAGCTGGAGACCTGGCTTCTCCTGGGCCTTGTCCAGCCCACCTTCTGTCTCCCTGTCCCTCACTGGCTTGTGCTGGTCCCCTCCTTCTCCGCACAGCTGCCGCTTCAGTCTGAGCTTCCCTTCAGCAATGCTGACCAGGGTGACATGCAAATCTCTTAACCGGTCTCCCCAACTCTCATTCTGTTGCCTCCACCCCATTCTCATCAGAATCAGAGTAATCTCTTTAAAACATCATTTCCCACAATAAATTAAAGTCACTTCTGCTGACTCTCAAGCTGCATTCGAACTCTCTCAGACTCAAAACTTCCCATCACCTCCTCCTCCACATTTTCTTATGTCTTTAAAATGGAATGTTGAATCATTCCATAATATTCTACTCATTCCATTATGTCTTAAGCAAGTCTCCTTTTCCGGTAATTTATACCAAGTTTTTGCCATTGTAAACAGCACTGGCATAAATGTCTTCTTACCTGCACAGAAGTACACACAGTGACGAAGCTTCTTATGTTTAAAATCCCAGACGTGTAATGGCCCAAACGGCATTTTGAGCCTTTCTAATGCGTCAGATGCATATTAAACGCCCACAAAGCTTGAATCAGTATGTACCCCATTAGCAGGATAGACAGTGTTTTTATCAGAGCATTTTTACCAAATGTGGCTGTTCTCACTGGAAAAACAAAAGCAAAATAACTGACAATTATCTTATTCTCTGTGTTTGAATGTACATTTTGGGATTGTTTGAGATTCAACTGTTTTCTCTGTGTTTTTTTTTCCTTCTTTTTCTTATTTTTATTTACTTATTCTTGTGGCTAAATGCACCTACCATATTAAAAGTAACAATGTAACTTGACAAACGTATTCTTAAAGATAAATTACACCTTGAATGTAAAATTAGCGCAATGCCAAGCACATAGTAAGAGCTTAGTGAATGATAGTTGCAGTAGAAACTGAATGGCACATTCATTAAAATCAAAATGTGCTTTGTTTTGTTTTTCTTTCCAACAGATGATTCCGCTGCAGAGAGCTTTAATGGCAATGAGACTGTGGGGCAAAGTTCGATTGCTTCAGGGGGAACGCACAGCAGGGAGATGGGCGACTCCAGTGGGGATGGCAAACCTGGGCTGGAGCAGGACCAGCAGCCACTGAACCTGAGCGACAGTCCCCTCTCAGCACAGCTCACTTCGGAGTACAGAACCGAGGACCACAGCAGTGATGGAAAAAGCAAATACAAGAATCTTCTAATTTCTGACCTCAAGATGGAACGGGAGGCGAGAGAAAATGGAAGCAAGGTAAGATCATCTTACAATTTTCATGGGCTTTTTAATTTGGCCATGAAGGTCACAAAGAAATAAAGACATGAAGATGGTTGTTTAGAAAAATCTAAAAATATTTTAAACAAGTAAGTCCTAGTAATATATTACCAAGAAACCTATAGCCACGGATATCACGCATCCCTGTAAGAGAAGCGATCCATTTAAGGAATGACTGAGCAAAATGGATCATGTGTCAGGAAAAGCTGTCGGTGTGCTTTCATATATGGAATTACTTGATTTAATCTTTCTGGCTTATGTAATCTTTTATGGGTCTGTGTCTGGGAGTGTGTGGAGCTCTGATTGTGAAAGTTAAGCTCTCAGAACACAATTTTCAACTATAAAAATCACTATCTGGTTCCTCCAAGATTAGACAGGTGTCTATAGCCATAAAGTTTCCATCGAAGCCTCTGGTTTACTTGAGAGACCTGAGGACTTTGGTCAGTAGTTTACTGCACGCACAGAGGAGAATGTGTCCGAGAAGAAACGTGCAGGTTAAATAAGTGCTCCGACAATATCTCATCATAAACTGTGCTGAACGGAGGAGCATGCTCTCCTGGTCTGTGCTCTCTCTGGCGTGCTGGGCTCCTGGGATGCCTGCTCGGGGTGAGCGCCCCTGGGCCCACATGGCTCAGGACCCTGTGGGACTCCACTCAATGGGGGAAAGGACTTCAATTAGCTCAGATGTGAACTAACCTGGCTGCAGTGTGGAATGGGAACTCTGGAAAGCTGGCCTTGCTTTTGGCTCTAATGGAGCCCCAGGACTGGCGTAAGGGGCAGGGGCTTTTACAACCTGAGGAATATAACTCCACACACAGAAAGCCCTCTGCTGCATCTCATTCTCCTAGGACAGTGGTCGGCAAACTCATTAATCAACCAAGCCAAATGTCAACAGTACAACCATTGAAATTTCTTTGGAGAGCCAACATTTTTAAACTTAAACTTCTTCTAATACCACTTTTTCAAAATAGTCTCACCCAGACTGTGGTATTTTGTGGAAGAGCCACACTCAAGGGGCCAAAGAACCACGTGTGGCTCGAGAGCCGCAGTTTGCTGACCACTGTCTAGTGGGGGTCTTCTGAAAATGCTCATTTCAGCGGCACCCCAAGGACCTCGTTCCCACTGTGTCTGAGAGATCTGGCCCATTACCTCCTCTTGCAACAAAACTAGACCACCTTCCTATATCACACACAAGAATAAACTCAAATGGATAAAAGACTTCAATGTTAGACTCAAAACCATAAAAATCCCCGAAGAAAATTCCAGGATATTTCTTTTTTTTTTTTTTTTTTCAAATGTATTTTATTGATTTTTTTATAGAGAGGAAGGGAGAGAGATAGAGAGCTAGAAACGTCGATGAGAGAGAAACATCGATCAGCTGCCCCCTGCACACCCCCTACCGGGGATGTGCCCGCAACCAATGTACATGCTCTTGACCGGAATCGAACCTGGGACCCTTCAGTCCACAGACCAACGCTCTACCACTGAGCCAAACCGGCTCTGGCCCAGGATATTTCTTATAGCAATGTTTTCCCTGCTACATCGCCTCAGGCAAGGGAAACAAACAAACAAATGAATGAATGAGACTACTACTTCAAACTGAAAAGCTTTTGCACAGCAAAGGAAACTACCATCACAATGAAAAGACAACCCACTGAATGGGAGAACATATTTGCCAATGACACATCTAATAAGGGTTAATTTATAAAGAACTTATAAAACTCACACCAAACACACACCCCCACAATCCAATTAAACCATGGACAAAGGACCTGATCAGACACTTCTCCAAAGAGGATAGACAGAAGGCCAAGAGACATGAAAAAGATGCTCAATGTTACTGGTCATCAGGGAGATGCAAATTAAAACCACAATGTGCTATCATCCCACAACCAGATTCTTTATATTAGAATTAAGTTACAATGTTTCTGATTTATTTATTTTTAATTAAGCTTATATTACTACAGTTGGAAATAACTCATGCTAGTGACGTGGTTCTATAATTTTTAAGGTATGCTTTTAAAAACAGGAGGACCTTAATAGAGTATACATTTTTACTTCATTCCCCCACCCCCACCCCACTCTAAGTTAGAGTTGTAGAACATGTTTTGTTTTTTTTTACTAGTACATAGATCCCCTAAAAGCAAAATGTCTTCATCTGGATTAATTCCTGATTTTGCTGAGGCACTCTTGCTTTCTGAAATGGCTCTATTTAAATATGCTTTCTCGCTTGAGGATGTGTTGTTTTATCCTCTTTTAGGGAAGTCACTGCACATCATCAGACACTAAGCACTTCCGCCTCAGGGAGGCCACTGTGCCTTTTGTTGGTGGTGAACTCACAAGTGTCCTCTTCAATGGTTTAATGCCAGGTCACACCAACAGGCACGGTTTTATATTCACCAGCAGGGTCTGCCTCTGTGTGCCACATTTTTTCAGAACAAAACAACCCTTAAGTTTCCCTGCCAGCCACATAATCCTGTCTCCATAAAACTTGAATAATCATGAAATGTCCTTTGTACACCATAAGTCTTGATTTAAAAAAAAACAAACCAAAAAAACCACTCCATGGTTTGCTGTCTTCTTTATCCCCTTGTTTGTGATTACTATGTGAACTCTGCTCATTGAAACACATTCTAGCGCTCATTGAACAAAAGAAAGTTACTTTTGCTCTCCTGTTCAAACAGAGCTATCCAGGGGCACAGATTGCTTGGGTTTCTCCTGAGGAATGAGATGGGAAAGGGACCTGGGGAGGAGGTACCCCCAGGCACTGAAAGGTGAGTGGCTTGGTAAAGGAAAAACCTCTCCCACAGCTAAGTGAGGAGGAGCCAGAGAGGCAGGGGGAAGTCAGAAGGGGTGTAGGAAAGCTCAGTGACTTCCACTTTCAAGAATGAGGGCATGGCCAGCTCTGATGGACAGTGCTGAGATATCAAATAAGATGAAGAGAGAGAACAGTTGAACTGTGAGACCTTGCACACTGAGAGCAAAATCCAGAGGGACTCTCTTCATTCCTCCAAAAGGGACAAATTAAATACCTGTCATCCTTGCGCCAAGGAAGTAGTTAGCAGACTTTATTCATGAGGCTCTTAGGTAAGCAGTTTTGGTAAAGAAGGTACATATACATAGAGACATTTGTTAATGAAAGTATGCATGTATATAAGCCTAACCAATGGACACAGACAACAGGGGCGTGAGGGCATGAGTTGGGGGGGGGGGGCGGCGCAGGGAGAGTAATGGGAGAATAAGGACACATATGTAACACCTTAATCAAAGAAATTTTTTTTAAAAGAAGGTATAGGCAAATAGAGATTTCTGTGTTAAAATATTGAGAGTTCAAAGTAAGTAAATACTATTTCTATTGAGGTACAAAAGAAGGCTTTCTAGAGGAAATGAGTCTCAAATGTTGAAGGAAATGTGAGATGACCATTCCCCCCCCCCCCAAAGGGGGTCTCCTGTTTTCACTGTGAAGGGCCTGGGATGCAGACAGGGAAGATGAGTTGATTTTATAGGGTTGGGAAGCATTGTCCATTCAGAACTAGGTGTGACTTTATGCAAGGGATTCCTACATGCAAGGCACTGTTGTGGGAAGCAAAAACCGAGGCATGTCCCTGTCCCTCAAACACTCATAGTCCAGCAGGAAAGAGAGGCAAACTTGTGATTGTAATCTAATTCCATAAGTACAATGATGGACATCTGGCAGGGGAGTGAGAGGACAGATGCGGGGCATCCACGGAACTACAGTGATTCTCAGGGAAGACCTTCTAGAGACTTCTACTTGGTGTGAAGATGTGTAGGGAGTTGAGCATGGCCACAGCAGAGAGTATGTATGGAGGGATGGGATATAAGGAGGTTCCATCAACAAAGGCTTTGTGTGCCAGTTTAAGGACTCTGCATTGTATCAAACAGTAGATTTTAGCATGGTAAGGTTGTGGTCAGCTTGGAATTTTAGAATTTTCTGGCAACATTATAGTGGATGAATAAGATATGGACCAGGAAAAAAAAAAAAAGATGAAAACTGGTCAGAGGACTATTGTGGCAATTCAGAAAGAAAAGAATGCAGATATATTATTCCTTTTATTCTTTTGAAATTGTATTAATAGGACGGCTATATAGAGTTCCATAAGTTGTATATTGCCAAACTCCTGGAAATGTCTTTCACATATGAATAGCCTATTTACTTCTGTACATTTCATTAGGATGGCAATTCTTATGGGTATAGACATGATGTCTACCTTGCTTATTGCTGTATGTCTAGCACCTGACTTAATATCTGGTACATAGTAGTTCCTCAAATATTTTGAAGAAATAAAGTTATATTGAATGTGGGAAATAAAGCAGAGAACATTCTAGAATGACTCCAGGATTTGGGGCTGGTTGGTGAGTGGATATGATTCCATTCCCCAAGGTTTGGGATGAGGAAAGATCGAAGAAGCACTTTTGACATGTGAAGCTTATAGTGCCCGTGTAGTATCTTCTGGATATGTTTAACAGGCATTGGGGAACACACATCAGCTTCCCCCAAAAAACACACACACACACAAACAAACTGCAGATGGAGAGAGAAACTTTAGAAAGACTTGAGAGCAGCAGTGCTGCCTGAGCTGATGTGGTTGATAGGATTACCCCAGGAAAGCAAAGGCTGAGGAGAGAAGAGAGTGGAAATGTATCATCCTGCGGAAGACTGACCCCCAGGAGCCTGTGGCGTAAATGCAGTCTGTGGAGGAAAAAGAACTAAAAAAGAAAGTGAAGGCACCCAAATAAGAAAGCGAGGTATTTTGGAAGCAAACCTGTAGGGCATTTCTAAACAGTGGTAAGTAGTTATTAAATGTAGGGGAAGTGGTAGAGGTCTTCACTTGGACAGTGGTTAGGAAAGTTAACAGTAAGAGTGGCATTCAAAACACATTGTCGATGAAACATTAGCCTAATTCGTGGAAAAATGGATTGGGGTAAACAAGCTGAATCATGTCAGTTGTGAAGAAGAC